CTGTAATTTTGTGAGTCTTGCAGGTTATCCCTTTGGAACACAAATGTGTTCTTGATCTATCCTATGTGTTCTACCAGAGTAACTAATAAGAAGTAATTTTAGGAATTATATGCCCCGCCAGTAACAACAGAACACAAAGAATCTTAATAGTATCAATTTTCTAAAGTATAATTTTTAGGTTAACATGATTAACCCGATGTCTATTAACTAGAATCCCATTCAGGGAGATTTATGGAGTTTATAAATTACTGATTGGATATTAAAGATATCGAAATGGGAGAAACAGTTCATGCAAAGATGAATAAGAAACTGTTTCTCTATCACTCCCTCATACAAAAGGAAAACTGAGACCGAGAATCCATCTTGATGGCTCAGCAAAGATCCTCCCATTGAGATATATACTGGTCCTATTTTTCTACATGTGCAGCTTAAGCATTGTGTGCATGTCTCAGAGGGGTCTCAAATCCATCTCTGCCTCAGCAACCCATCATGCTTCCTGGTTCTGTGTACCACTTAAACTCTCACCTAGATCAGGTTCCTTTTTATAAACCTATATAGCATCTCTTAACTTTTCCCTTTGTAATTCTTATCCCACTTATTCATGTCCATCTTCCCAAATAAAATATAAACTCTCTGAGAACACCCCACTCATCGTTTGAAAAGCCTGGTATCTTGAAGATCAAATATAGCAAAGTCCAGAAGGAAGCCAAGCAGCACGAAGCCACGTGCATTCCTCCCTCTCCTGCCACCTGCACGTTCACATGGTTGACATTTCTCGGGTGTTACTCTGTGAGACACGCAGGTGGCAAAGGTAGGTAGAATAAATTGCCTGTAGCAGAGAGGCCAGCTCTCTAATCTCACTTTGTTCTCAAGCACATGGCAAGACGACATATCTGAGCCTCCCTTTTGGTTAGGTATGACCCCGTGTCTAGGTCCTCTCGTAGGAATAAGAAAAGAAGAAATGCGCATCTGTGCCTCTTTGCAACCTGGCTTTAAAATCTCCCAGAAACACTCTTCCATATTCTTTTCCCTTCAGACTGGTGGGATGAAAATGGCCATAGCCACCTTCAAAGCCACCATGTTAGACAGCAAAACCTTTCTTCACTTGGGTCCCAGAAAAACCTGCATGAAGCAGAGCTACTGTTATCTGGGATGGCTAACCTGACCTAAGCGAAGCAGAAATTCTTGTTCTTAAAGCCTCTGAGATTTGGGAGTCTGTTAACACAGCCTAGACTACCTAATAGGGTTATCAATCTTGAGAAATTTGCATGTCCTAAGAAAGAATTCTTATTATTTTGAAATATGCTCCAGAGTCTTCAAGATTGGGGCAAAGCAGTGGATTGCATTTTGCAATTTAGTGTTTTTGACTTCAAAAGCTGCAAGTTTTGCTCCCATCAAGGATGCATGACCAAGTTCACATAGGCTGAGACAGTGCATAATGGATATTCTTTTCTATATAGACAAATGAGCCTACTGAGCCAGTTTCTCTGAGGGAATGACTTGGTGGTATGGAAGTTTAATCATTTTCTTCTTACTAAATTTCCTTCTACCATCTTTCCAAAGTGAAATATCCAATATTCATGGTTCAGTCCCTTAGGGGGTTTAAGAGAGTCACCTCATCTCCTTTGTACCTTTCCAACGCTACAGTGATAGGAAGGATTAGGTGTAGACCAGAGTCTTCTGAATGCCCTAGGAGACCAGATCAGTCCACGGTGTCTTGAAGGATCAGCAGCATCCTTTGCCATCTGTGCCAGCCCTGACCACCTCCAGACCTCAGGACCAAGGGAAACCTGAGAAGTGAGTGAAATGAGTTTCTATAGGCAACACAATGGCTATAACAAAGAGGAAGTCTTGGATCTTTGCACTTGTTCTTGGTTTGATGCACCTTCCAGAGTAGCTAAAAGGCATTTGATTTGCATTTCACCAAGTTAAAGAGAAGAAAGAGAGGAAAGGAGGGAGGGAGTGAGGGAGGAAGGAAGGGAAAGGAAGGAGAAAGAAAAAAGAAAGAAAGAAAAAGAAAAAGAAAGAAAGAAAGAAAGAAAGAAAGAAAGAAAGAAAGAAAGAAAGAAAAAGAGAAAGAGAGAAAGAAAAACAAAGAAAGAGAGAAAGAAAGAAAGAAAGAAAGAAAAAGAGAAAGAAAGAGAGAAAGAAAAACAAAGAAAGAGAGAAAGAAAGAAAGAAAGAAAAGAAGGAAAAGAAAGAAAGGAAAGAAGGAAAAGAAAGAAAAGAAAGAAAGGAAAGAAGGAAAAGAAGGAAAAGAAAGAAAGAAAGAAAGAAAGAAAGAAAAGAAGGAAAAGAAAGAAAGGAAAGAAGGAAAAGAAGGAAAAGAAAGAAAGAAAGAGAAAGAAAGAAAAGAAGGAAAAGAAAG